GGGAGCGCCACCGCACTCCCAAGCAGCGCACTGTAGCAGTGCGCCACCGGGCCGGCCCCCAGTTTGCTCTTTTACATAGATATTACTGATATGATGTTCTGGGACAGTGGTTATAAGTGGTTATTTATAACAATGTACCCAGTCTCGAACTGCTTAAGCACTTCTGAAAAGATGTAAGATGGCTTTTATAGAAAGGGCTGGCCAGTTAGCTCAGTTGATTAGAGCTCAATGTTAGTACACCAAGGTCAAGGGGTTCAGAGCCCCTTACAGGCTGGCTTCCACCACCACCACCAAAAAAAAAAAAAAAGGCCTTTAAAAACAGAACAGTAACTTTGTGACTTAAATTGCAAGCTATTTCTTACTTATGATGAATTACTTGAGAAAAATCAAACAAATACATTGGACCATTATTCTATTTCTTGAGTACATAGTATGTGATAGGGTATTTTGTAAACATTATCTATAATTCTCACAACAATTCTGCATGGAAGAAATTATATAGTACAGGTAATTCCCATTTTATAAATGAGGTACCTGATACTTTGAAAGGTCAAGGTCATACAATTAGTAAATGGCAAGCTACAATTCCAACCTATGTATGACTCCAAAGTCAGTCTTTCTATTAAAACTAGCCTGCTTGGGCCGACCCCGTGGCACACTCGGGAGAGTGCTGTGCTGGGAGCGCAGTGGCGCTCCCGCCGCGGGTTCGGATCCTATATAGGGATGGCCGGTGCGCTCGCTGGCTGAGCGTGGTACGGACACCAAGCCAAGGGTTGCGATCCCCTTACCGGTCACAAAAAAAAAAAAAAAAAAAAAAACTAGCCTGCTACACATGGATAAACTCTTTTTGGTTTTTAACCAACCTATGAATAGGGTAAAAATGACACTTGCTTCTGAATTCAGGGCTTGGTTCCAGAGTGAAAATTCTTGAACTATTTTGCTTAAACTTTAATTTTCCATAAGGTTTCACGAGGTTCATTCTAATCTACCAAGGTTCATTCTAAACTATCCTTCTTGGTATACAGCTTTGCGTCCATCCCACCTCGCTTTCATCTACATCTTTCATGCCATGACCACACAGAACATGTGACTTCCAAACACAATTCCAGCACTTTCCAATTCCCTACTTGATTTTTCCACTTGCAGGTACAACAGATATCACAAATTTAACATGTTCCAGTCAGAACTTTTGATTTTCCACTCACAACATCCAATTCATCAATGTCTTATCATTAAAACATCAAAATTACATCTCAAACCCATTAGAACTCTCCATCTCTACTACCCTCAACTTACTCTACAGTCACTCTTCTCTTTCCTACATTATTGCATTAGCTTCCTATTTGGTTTCTCTCCTGCTACTCTTACCCAAGTAAGCCAAAATAAGCTTACTTATATTTTGGCAAAAATATAAATAAGGTCACTCATCTGCTGAAAATCCTCTTGACATTTCACACTTCACCTTCAGAAAAATTTGAAACATGGTGGCCCTTCATAATCTGGCCCTTGCCTATGTCTCTTACCTTATGATGTACTGCTCTCCCCTCCTCATGCTTACATTGGGCTTTTCATTTACTCTTGTTTCTCTGTGGCTGATCATCCTCCAGGTCTCCACCTGGGTGTCTCCTTCTCACTATATCATGTCCTTATATACAATACTGTTCCTACACTGCACCCCCTATTAGTCCCATTGCCCTGCTTTATTTCCTTCATGGCACTGATAAATATCTAAAATCATCTTATTTATTTTTATCTGTCTCCTGTACTAGAATATGAGCTCTGGGAGAGGAACTTGTCTTATTGTTGCTGTATTCCTGGTGTCTAGGGTCAAATATTTATTGAATGAACCAAACCAAACACAATACAGATTATGGATATGCAAAAGAAAAAAAAATTGGTTACAAAGTTCATCATTTTAAAAGACCAAAAAGAAAAAGTTTATCTACAGATTTTCTATACTATGTATTGCACAAATAAAAAGAGTAGGGTTTAATTATACAAAGTAAATGACTTTAAAAAGGAAAAAGTTGGGCCGGCCCGGTGGCGCACTGGATGGTGCGCCGCTTGGGAAGCGCGGCGGCGCTCCCGTCCGAGGGTTCGGATCCCACATACAGACCGGCTCCCGCTCACTGGCTGAGCGAGGCACAGGAGCAGCACAAAGTTCATCATTTTAAAAGACCAAAAAGAAAAAGTTTATCTACAGATTTTCTATACTATGTATTGCACAAATAAAAAGAGTAGGGTTTAATTATACAAAGTAAATGACTTTAAAAAGGAAAAAGTTTACTGTCTCTTCAATAAAATATATCTTAAGCCAGCCTATTAAAATTTCTTATTGTATCCCCTTATCTGACATTAAAATACAAAAGTCTTAAAATAAAAATTAAAGTCAACATTCTTATTATGGGTTTATAACAGAATTTTTTCCCAAATAATATTTGAATATTAAATTTAGAAATGGTTAACTGAAGGCTACCAAAAATTTTAATGCTGCTGAATATCTGGTATAAAGACTACAAAAATGAAGGTGATATATACTTACACTTGGTCTTTGGGTTTCCTGCAGCCATTTAAGAATGTGGGTCAAAGAGAAAGTTTTTAAATAATTAAATATACTTTTTGTCTCAAAACACATTAATTTAAACAAAATAATTAAATTTGAACACAATTTAATACTGAAATTACTCTTTAGTTATCTAAAGTAGGCTTCTTAGAAGTTCTCAGGTTTTTCAACTTAATTATTTGTCTTTTTAAAAAATAGCTTGATATATAATCATATACCATATAATTCACCCATATAAAGTGTACAAATTAATGTTTTCAGGATATTCACAAGGTTATGCAATCTCCAACTTTAAAGTGAAGTTTATTGATTTGGTTTTTAAAGTTTTTATAATTATGTTTATTATAGAAAACCCAGAAAAGCATATAGAAGAAAAACTGCTTTATCTACAAACAACCACAAAACATTTGACGTGTTTCTTTCCAGTATTTTTCCTTTATGCAGTTTTTGTTTTTTGCATACCTGTGTCATACCATAGAGTTTTATATCCTATTTTTGCATCATACNTAACACAACCAACTGCAAAAATCCTAATATTATGAACCACAGTTTACTCAACCATTTTCCATTGTACACATTTAAGCTATTTCTAATGCTTTACTATTATAAATAAAGCTATATAAATATCTTTTTTCTATTATTTTCTTTTTCTTAGTATTTTATCCTTAGAGTAAATTTCCCAGAATCAAAGTTACCCTGGTAAGCAATGTGAGATGTTTTAAAGCTCCCAATGCATATGGTAAAAATGCCTTCCCAAAGGGCTAAACTGATTTTCACAGTCATAAGTAATGAGAGTGCTTATTTCACAGTATCCACACTGGTACTGTTTTATTTTTTAAAATCTTTGGTAATTGTTGCTTTAACTTTACATTTCTCTTATTACCAGCAATGTCGAACATTTCTTTACATCTGTGCATCGGTTTCATTTCTTCTGTGAATAGTCTGACGTCAT